TTTTTCCAGTTACTTGCACCATGCCTGCCACACTTTCCCACACAATGGGATCTCTTAGCCCCACACTGCATTATCTGCCATTCATACATCACCCATAGAGCACTGGACACTGTTTCTGGCTTTTCTTCTCTGGCATAAAGAAATGTAAATTTTCAACTATGTCTGAACAGGAGCTGTGAAGCTACTTGTCTTTGTGACACCAGGGAGGTGACCTAATCTCTATAAGCAAAAAGAAGTTAGTAACGCAACCACCCTCATAGGAAGTGAAGACTGAATGAGTTAATGGAGGCAAGTTACCTGTCGTGGAGACGGGAACATAGAAAATGCTGGATACATGTCACATGTCAGTGTTATCACTCCATCCTCACCTGTCACCCTGATCTCCAGCTTGGTGCTGGGCAAGGAGGCCAAGTGTGATGAGTCACTCAGGTAATACACACAGCTGTAGTTTCCACTGTCATGACTTGTCACATTCCAGAGCATGAAATCAGTCTGTTTTTCTCTTACTTTCTCGACTTGTAGTGGCTCTGGGATCCCCATTTTCAGCAGAGCAATTACAGTACAGTCAGTCCCATTGTATGGAGTGAGACATGGAAGTATCCTGAGACCTAGAGTCATTCCAGGGTCTACAGTGACTGAGAGCAAAGGTCTGGGAGTGGTCCTGAAGAGGACACGGCAATGGAGTAAGAGGAGGGCCAGGGCCTTCCACTTTCTACTGCACTTGGGGACCATTTCATCCATCTCTCTCTATTAACCATGTCTTGTCTTTTCTATATCTGATGCTTTGATATCTTGGGGCCTTGCTGACCTTGGTGGGACCGCCTCTCCCAGGGTTAGTTAATTTCTAGAGCCAGTAAACCACTTGTCCTCAAGTATGCCCTTTAAATGCAAACCAATAAATCCGGAGCCCACACCCCCAACCTCCTTCATTATGGGGTTCTCACAATCAAGGTCAGTGTTGCCCTCTCCTAATCACTCCAGGTCCCAGAGCTAGACGACCAGGGACAGCCTCTATACCCCAGAGCCAATTCTTTTTCTTTTTTCTTTCTTTTTTTTTTTGAGACAGGCTCTCATTCTATCAGCCAGGCTGGAGTGCAGTGGTACAATCTTGGCTCACTGCAGCGTCTGCCTCCCAGATTTAAGAAATTCTCATGCCTCAGCCTCCCAAGTAGCTGAAAGCGCAGGTGCACACCCCCACACCCAGGTAATTATTTTATTTTTGTAGAGATGGGGTTTCACCATCTTGCCCAGGCTGATCTTGAACTCCTGACTTCAGGTGATCCGCCCTCCTTGGCCTCCCAGAGTGGATGGGTGGAGGCCAAAGTGGATGGATCCACCCACCCATCCAACTTTCCACCCACCCTTCCATCCGTCCATTCATTCACCCTCCCACCCATCCATCCATCCATCCATTCATAGGGTTAAGATTACAGGCATGAGCCATCTTGCCCGGCCAACTCTAATCCTGTTCCCCACCACAAAATACAATACAAGCTCTGGCCCACAGTCTTCCTCCTCCCTCTGCCTCCTGACTGACCCTGGTACTTCCCCCCGTACCCTCCCACAGTATAGCCTGCCCCTCCTCTTGGGAACTATAACAGACCACCTTTTCCATGGCCATCATCTCTTGGTCTGTCAATATGACTGTAACCCCATTTTCTTTTTTTTTTTTTTGAGACAGAGTCTCGCTCTTTCACCCAGGCAAGAGTAGAGAGGTGTGATCTCAGCTCACTGCAACCTCCGGGGTTCAAGCGATTCTCCTGCCTCAGCCTCCTGAATAGCTGCGACTACAGGCATGTGCCACTACACCCGGCTAATTTTTTGTATTTTTAGTAGAGATGGAGTTTCACCATGTTGGCCAGGATGCTCTCGATCTCCTGACCTTGTGATCCACCCACCTTAGCCTCCCAAAGAGCTGGAATTACAGGCATGAGCCACCGTACCCAGCCCTGTCCCCCATTTTCTATTAACTGACTATGTTCTACACCACTCTGCAGCATCCACATCATTGGGACCCTCTCAGAATCCCTGATGGGAATCTTGCCCCACATTCTGTTCCCATTTCCACATTTAAGATGTTGCATCTTTTTGTCTCCTGGGTTCCTTCTTCCCCAGTCACATCCCCCAACAGGAAAAAAAAAAAAATACTCGCATCAGGCAGGCCTCGGTGACTCAAGTCTGTAATCCCAGCACTTTGGGAGGCCAAGGCAGGAGGATCACCTGAGCTCAGGAGTTCAAGACCAGCCTGGACAACATAGAGAGATCCTGTCTCAACAAATAATTTAAAAATTAGCCAGGCATGGTGGTGCTTGCCTGGCAGCTACTTGGGAGGCTGACGCAGGAGGACTGCTTGAGCCTGGGAGGTTGAGGCTGCAGTGAGTTGTGTTCATGCCACTGCACCCCAGCCTGGGTGACAGAGCAAAAAACAAAAGCAGCCAGGCGCAGTGGCTCACTCCTGTAATTCCAGCAATTTGGGAGGCTGAGGCAGGCAAATCAGGTGAGGTTGGGAGTTCAAAATCAGCCTGGCTAACATGGTGAAACCCTACTAAAATACAAAAATTAGCCGGGTGTGGTGACACACCCCTGTAGTCCCAGCTACTCGGGAGGCTGAGGTAGGAGACGTACTTGAACCCAAGAGGTGGAGGTTTCAGTAAACTGAGATTGCACCACTGTACTCCAGGTTGGGCAACAGGGCGAGACAACCTCTCAAAAAAAAAAAAAAGGGTTGAGCGCGGTGGCTCACACTTGTAAATCTACCCCTTTAGAAGGCTGTGGCAAGTGGATCACCTGAGGTCAGGAGTTTGAGATCAGCCTCACCAGTATGGTAAAACCTCATCTCTATTGAAAATACAAAAATTAGCCAGCTGTGGTGGGCACCTGTAATCCCGGCTACTCAGGAGGCTGAGGTAAGGAGAATGGCTTGAATGCAGGAGGCAGAGGTTGCAGTGAGCCGACTGCACTCCAGCCTGGGTGACAGAGCGAGACTCCATCGCAAAAAAATTAAAAAAAAAAAAAAAAAAGCAAAGCAAAACCAAAGACGTGTGCATCAAGAGTGCATCTGAGGCTGCCCTTCTCACCTGTGACCACCAGCTGCAAGGGCTCACTGCCTTCTGACCACTCATGGGAGACTGCTGTCTTGTAGGCACAAAAGTACCTCCCAGCATCCTCAGGCTTCAAGTCCGTGAACGGGAATTCAGCTTCGTTTCCTGCCGAGCTCTGTTTGCGCTGGTACGCAGAGTCGTTCACCTTGCGCAGCGTGAATGTCACATTCTGGGAAGGAGCCCGACACTTCAGGGTCACGTTGCTCTCGGCTTCAGCCACCAAGCTGGGCCAGGCGTGGAGGGAGGGCTTGGACGGTTTCTCTGGAAAGAGTTCACAGTTAATTCGAGTCTGCATGTTAATGACCACAAAACCCTTCCTGGAATTCAGAGGATTAAAGGAAAATGTCATGGGAGTGGCTTAAGTGGGAGTTAAGTTTAAGTGGGAGAAAACTCACCGTTCTCTTTGTCACCTTCATAGCCCAGACACAGCCCTGGAAGAGAAATGTCAATGAGAGAAAAATTACGTGCTTGTCTTCGAGTACAAGTCCAGCAGAGAAAGCATGACCAGCTCATTAAAGGTCTGATATATATATAATAATGCATGTATTTTATAAATATAAATACATATATATGCAGATATATACATATACATAAATATATGTAAATTATATATTGTAATATATATAATGTAGACTTATATTTTACATATTATATATTTTTATATATATATATTTTTAAATATTTTTAAATATAATGTATTTCTTCATATTTAGATATGAACATATATATATAATATATATGGGGAAA